GAGGCAAGGATTCTGAAGCTTCATCTGACATACTCTGGGCATGCTGCAAGGAGAGACCAGTCTTTGGAGAGGGACATCATGTTTGGGAGGGTAGAAGGACAGTGCAAGAAAGGAAGACCCTTGATGAGATGAATCAATTCAGTGATTGGGGTCATGGGAATAAGTATGTCAGAGACAATGAGGTTGGCACAGGATAGAGAAAGGCTTAGGGGTCTTGTACATAGGGTTGCTATGAGTTGCAAGTGACTTGACAGCACATAAGAACAACATATCTGACCTGTATGTAAACTAACCCTTTCAATGAAAAGAGCCCTCTAATTTTAAAATGGAGAGAATAATGTGTTAAGCAGGTAAGTAGCTGCCTGTCCATGTAGAAAAATCAATAAATGTCTTTAGATGGGGAGGCCGTCTTGTAGGGTTACTTAAAGTGCTTTGGATACTGCAATTCATCTCAGTCACACTGTACATGCCTGCAGTAAGGGCACCCTTGAATCCAGTAAAAAGAGGATGAATTACCTGTATACTGTTCAGTATACAGGCCATTATTAGCACCAGCAAGGTGCCTGGTAAGACTTTGGTGTGATAAACATCTAAGTGACTAAATTCATCATACTAAAAACAGTTTAAACTATCTATGTGACACTACAGATGACATGTACAGTACAGGTAACTGGTTCTATGGATCTGAAGCTCAAAGGAGAAAGCAAGACAACTGATACAGATATTACTACACATAGATGTAGAAGAGATTACACAGGTAGTAACAGAGATGAGAACCCAAGATCGAATATGTGAGATTCTCCACTTCAAATCTGTTCACATACAACCATTCATCATCTCACACAACACAGAAAGTGCTGAGTAACCATCTACACTGGACTACACGAAAAGAAGTAAAAGCCCAGAATAGGACCTTGAAGATTATCAGTATTTAAGGCCTAGGCAGACCTAAGGAATTACCAGTGGAATACTCTGAAAAATTGACTTTCATCTTCTTCAAATCAGTTATCTGCAACACCACATGATGCTGTTGCTTTAAACCTGATCCTGTACATTTTTGGTAAATACAATCCGTCTATTCCATCCTTTCCAATACTGGTAACAGATCACCTCCCCAACTATTCAACGCATCCTACTTAACTGAGTTAACAATATAGTAATGCATAAGGTATTAGGCTACTAACTGAAAGGTTAGCAGTTCACATTCATTAGCCACTCTTGGAGAGAACAAAAGACAACTTCCTTTCATAAAGATTTATAACCTCAGAAACCTGACTGGGGGACGGAGGGGACTCATCATGAATTGAAAATTATTCAAATGGTAGCAGGTTTGATTTTGAATATATTTCTCATTCCAGAATTTAATTCCTAATATAATCTATTTTATTTCAATCTTTGTCATGCAATAAAGATTTTCTTTGCCACTTAAAACATTCTTGTAAGTCAGGGTTCTCAACTAGGAATGATTTTTGTTCCCCCCGGTAACATCTGGAGACATTTTTAAATGTCAAAACTGGGGATGGAGGAAGTGAAGGTATTGTATTTTATTGACTCAATTTAGTATTTATCTATCTACTAATTTATTTTTCTTCCCCTCTCATCCCTGGTAACCATCAAAGAATGTTTCTTTCTTTGTATAAATATATCTTTAGCTTTTATATTAGTGGCATCTGAAAGGCACACAATTCAAATCCGCCAGCTGCTCTGTGGGAAAAGATGAGCAATCTCCACCCTTGTAATTAAAATACATCTGAAAACCCACTAGAGGGTCAACTATAAGTCAGTTTCAACTCGACAGTACACAACAACATTTGTCCCTTTGTGACTGACTGACTGGACTCAGCATGTCTTCCAGATTGATCCAAAGTATGCAGTGTTTATTGCCTTCTCTGCTATTTTTTTTACTATTGTGTAATATACCATTGTGTGTGTACAAATTATAGCTTGTTTATCTACTCTTCAGTTGATGGGCACTTGGGTTTCCATCTCATTGTCACTGTAAATAACAGTGAAATTGGTATGCATATGTAAGTTCATATCACAGATCTTATTTCTTTAGAATATATTCAGGTAGGAAAACTGCTGGACCAAATAGTATTTCTATTTTCAACTTTTTGAGAAAGCACCATACTGTTTTCCTATGCTTACACCATCTTACAGTCCCATTAGCAGTGTATCAGTCTCAATCACTTCACATCCTCACCAGCATTTGCTATTTTCACACTTAACTTCAATAATATTGCCAAGATGATATCTCATTGTTGTTCTGATCTGCATGTCTCTAAGTTACTTGTACTTAGAGTGTCACTGTGAGTCATAGGTGATTCAGTGGGGCACATAACAACAAGAAGCTGCAATCCCAAAGGCACACAGAACACATCAGTGGTTCTGTGGGAGAAGGACTAGCAATCTCCCTCTGTGCAATTAAATGCCTCTGAAAAACTGCTAGAGGGTCAGCTATGAGTCAGTTACAACTCAACAGAATACAACAGTATCTAATAAAGGAACTCTGGGAGCTTAGTGGTAAGGAACTGCCCTGCCAATTCAAAGGTACACAGCTGGAATCCACCAGCTGCTGCTTCATGGGCCAAAGATAGGCAACCTCCTCCTGTGTGATTTAATGCCTCTGAAAACCTTCTACCGGGTGATTTATTGGTCGGTTATATCTTAACAGTATAAAAAAAGCATTTCTTTGAGTTTGTTGCCCAGCAGAATGCCAAGCTATTATGTAGATATAAACAAGGTAACTGAATACAATAATTATACCATTTGAAATATTTGTTAAAGAGATCTTATGTAGCTGCATTTCGTCACTAAGTATTAAAATATTAACTTATTTTCTTTTTAATGTTTTACTTTATGATTTTAACGAAAGTTTACAGAAAAGAGATTTTCATTCATTCATTCATTGTTCCATTTTCCTTCCTACCCCTCTCCCAGTTCACTTAAAAAAATACTGTTGTTCCTATCTTCCTTTAAAATAGCTAAACAGTGTACGTAATAATCAAGAGTAAAAAGTTAAAACTAGCCGCACACTTGTGTTAATTATTAACAGTTTTAGGCATTTCATTCAAGTTAAAGGGAGCTCTGATGGCCTAGTTATAAGGAGTCGTGCTGCCAACCCAAAGATAGAGTTTGAATCCATGACATGCTCTGTCAGAGAAATATAGGCAATCAACTCCTGTGTGATTTGTTGTTGTTGGGTACAGTCTATCAAGTACAACTCATAGTGACCCTATTACCAACCAATCTGAACACTGTCCTATCCTGTGACAGCCTCACTATCTGACACACTCAAGCCCACTGCCACAGTCACCTTATCAATCCACCTGGTTGCGGGTCTTTCTCTCATACCCCACCCCTCCACCTTCCTATGCATAATCCAACGAATAACCTCTCTCCTACCAACATGCTCAAAGTATGCGAGATGAGGCTTCACCACTTTTGTCTCCAAAAAGCACTCTGGCTGCACTCTCTCCAAGATGTATGTTTGGTTTCCTGGCAGTCTACGGGATCTTCTGCAGCACCACCATTCAAAGGCATCAATTCTGTCATCCTCTGTCACCATCTAGCTCTCAGATGCACAGCAAGTGACTGAAAAGATGATGACCTAAATCTGGCACATCTAAATCCTTAATCTGAAATCATTATTCCTCAATAATTTGGAAAAGTCCCTGACTACAGCCTTTCTCAGAGCAATATGATTTCTTGACTGCTGGTACCAAGTGTACTGATTGTAAATCCAAGTCTCAATCCTTTCTCCATACACCATGAAGTTGTCTATCAGTCCAGTGGTGAGGATTACTGTTTTTTTGATATTGAGATGCAACCCACTGAAGGCTGCAGTGTTCAGCATTTTGTAGAAAGTGCTTCAAGGTCTCATCACTTTCATGCAAGGAAGGCTGTCGTCTGCATAAGCCAAGTTGTATTATTTGCATAACAAAGGTTATTGATGAGTCTTCCTCTAATCCTGATGCCACATTTCTCTTCATAGACCTCAGCTTGTTGAATAAATTGCTCAGTATATAGATTAAATTAGAAGCAGGAGTAGCATTCACTTCCTAAATAACATGCCTCTGGAAACTCTTATGAACTTTGATAAATGATGATAGTTATAGAAAAGCTTAGGGCCATTTTTATTAATAGGGAAGCTATGAGTTGTGCTTGATTTGATGGCAATCAACAACAACAACATATAGATTAAATAGGTATGGCGAGAACACAAGTCTGACGCAGACCTTTCCTGATTTTCAAGCACATAGTATTTCCTTGCTGTATTCACACAACAGTTTCTTGGTCTAGGTCTAGGTTTCACACAAGCACAATCAAGTGTTCTGGAATTCCCATTCTTCTCCATGTTAGCTATAATTTGTGATGATCCACAAAGTCAAACGCCTTTGCACAGTGAATGAAGCACAAATAGACATTCTTCTCATAGTCTTTGCTCTCAGCCAGAATTCATCTGACATCAGCAAGTGATATCTTTGGTGTCATCACCTCTCCTAATCTGCTTATCATGGGTTGTTGAAAAGTCTTTCTCTATTCCTGATGCCATATATTTCTTCACAGTCTTGGTTTTCAGATCACTTGCTTTGCATACAGATTGAACAGGTAGGGTGAAAGAGTATAAGCACGATGTACAGAAATCTAAAGACTGAAAGAAAATTAGTTACCCTAGTAATTGTATAATCCATCAATAATAAATAAATAAATTCATACTGAGAGAATTTATGAGTTTATAGCAAAGCTCTATCTTACATACTAAATACATCTTTTAAATATTTATAATATTTTACAATTTGTTAAACCATTTTGACCACCACAGAGAAAACCTTATTTCTACTAATGATAACAAGTCAGTTTATTGCTACTCTATAGCAAATATTAAGTTAGCTTCCCTACTCCAAAATACTAGAGAAATATAGGTAGCTATTGAGTACAATAACTACACACATCAATACACATTATTTTCCCCACTCTAAATTATTTTATAGACATACCTTGCCACTTACGATTTCTTCCACTCGCTCTTGGGGTGTTTGTCCAGCTTTATGCCTCACCAGAACATATATGGAATTGACCTTAGGACAAGACCTTAGCAACTTCTCCAGAAGCACTTTCCCTAGGAAGCCAGTAGCTCCAGTAAGGAGGACATTTTTGCCTTCATAGTATTCTGGAATTGAAACCATTCTGATCCTAAGGAAAACATGACCAAAGAAGCATTAGTTCAAAGATTTTATTTTTCTTAATTACTAAATATCTCTTGGTATTCAAATAAGCATTTTAATGGACAAGCAAAAATCAAAGATGAGATTAACAAATGCAAACTCTAACGTCTTGTTCATTGTAGTGAGGAGAAAGAATAAGGAACTGCAATGACGACTTCTAATCACTGTGTTTTTCCCCTGGATGGCTTCAAGTAAGTCACTCACGTTCTCCAGGCCTAAACTTCATTAATGCCATTTGTACTAAATAATCTCTTAAAATCCTTTCTAGCAAAGAGAATTCAAGTCTTCATTTAAACCTCAGATAAACACTACACAAAACTGAATAGTGTTTCTCTGCCTTGGAACAGATTTATAACACTGAATAGAAATCAGCAGCAAGAGCAAGACTCAAAAGCTTAGCTTGGCACCACAACAAGATAAAGGAGAATAATCCAATTGAAAAATGGGCACAGGATATGAACAGACACTTCACCAAGGAAGACATTCAGATGGCCAACAAGCACATGAAGAAATGTTCAAA